AGCAGTTTGTTTTAAGCATCAGAGTTTTGGGGTGCTTTGTTATGAGGCTATAGATGACTAATTCATGCCTTCGACTTTATTTTGCACATAAGATGAAATCCACAGCTCTGTTCTTTACTTCATTTTAAGGTACCAAGAGCTTCTAAAATAAAACAGAACTTCCTCGCTTGACTTCATGCAGGTTTTTCTATGAGCAAAGCTCTTGAAGCAACTGAGGATGGTGACTGATGTTAACGTCAGACCTCCACATGCGCATGCACACCCACACCTGTGCCTACACATGTGTGAACACTCATACAAACACTTGCACAACACCTACACATGAAAATGGAAAAAGGCAAAAGAGAAAGGAAAATAAGCAGAGTTCTTTGACTGGCATTAGAAGGACTGTAAAAATGCGTCAGGTGAAAGTCTGCCCCCCAGACACTTGAGACACGGAGATTAATGATCCACATGGGGTCCCTTCTCCCCAATTACTTTGTCTCTTGGCTCCTTGTCTTGTCTCACCCTTGTTTGCATCTCCACTCTGCCTCGGTGACTGGCTCATCGCCTGCCTCTCTACGCACTGCACTGCTTCCAAGGCTTCCTTCCTGGAGCTCTTCCTTTGTCTGTCTCTCCCTCCTAGACAAATCTTTCCTGTCTCCTAGGAAAACAGAACTCCACCAACTCCCATAACTGTAGCTCCACTCCGAGCCCCTCCTGCAAACTCCAGACTCACACGATTCATGATTCTCAGCCCTTTCATTTGTGAACCCCCTGGTGACAGATCAGCTGCTCCCCTTCCAGCCCTCACTAACACAAACGCATGGCAAATGCTCTTCGCTCATCTCCAAATCCTACGGCAGCCTGTCACCGGTTTCCTCCACAGCATTTCTTAACAGTCCAGCCGCTCCCCATGGATGGCACTCACCATCCATGCCTCTGTCTCCTAGCGGTGCCTCCTGAGGTTTCCTTCTCCCATGAACCCCTCGTCTGTTTTCCACACAGAGCCAGCCTTTAATCCATCCCAGCATATCATTCCTCTTTTCAAGCCCCCCATGACTTCTGATCTTCATCTACACTATGAACCCCAGTCTGACTTTGGTCTCTAATACCCGACACACCAGCCACAGGCAGCTCCCCTGATTCATCTGCTGCTGCTTCCTTCCGAGTACACACCAGCCTTCCTGACCGCATCGCTTTGCTTCAGGCATGCCAAGAACTCCGCGCCTCGGGACTTAGCACATACTGCTCCATCTCCTTGGAACTTTCCTGCACTAGCAAGCCTCCCCATGGCTGACATATCATGAGATACCTCCCCATGGCTGACATATCATTTCAATGGTATCTTTTTCTCATGACACGAATTGGTAAGGTCTTCCCCGATTTTCTATCTAAAACGCCCTCCCTCTCTACTCCACTCCAGATGGTAACTTCCACATGAATAGAAAGTTTGTCTTGTTCCCTGGGATAGCTCCAGAGCTTGGTAGATAGCAAATAGGCAATACATCTCTGTTAAATAAAGAGAATGAGAAGAGATGGTTGCTTTAGCTAAGGAATGGGGCCGGCCACTGGCTTCACTACCTCTTTACATGGCCATTCCAAAACCTTTGTAATGACTCTCCCGGCCTCTGCCTAATCTTTCCTATCTATCATCTATGTCACCTTGAGGTTGTTTCTAAAGTACAGGCTGGATGCCACTGCTCCTTGGAAGAGTTCTCAGTAGCTTCTCATGGCCTGTAGAATCAGGTCAGTCTCCTAAGCCTGGCAGTCAAGGCCATCCAAAATTTGAATCCATCTTCTGTTCTCATAGTTTACTGTGTCCTGACCACTGTGAAGACTGAACTTCAGGGAAACGCTGTGTGCAGAAGCCCAAACTCATCTCTTTTCTCTCCCCACATACAGACGATGCCTTCACCCATCCCACCTACTCCGACCCTTCACCCTCGGAGGTTCAGTGGAAAGGCCTGCTGTGTGACAAATGCCTGGATGGCACCGTGGGTCTCTGTTGTCTCTGCTCTCTGCCACTGTGCTTTCCTCAGACCCCACTGTGGGTACCTCAAATTGTCATGCTTGCTCTTCCATCATTAATCTCCATGTCTCGCCCATCCCAGAATTCTTAGGGGGGGGGGAGTAGAAATCAACCTGACACATTTTTACAGTCCTTCAATGCCAGTCAAAGAGCTCTGGTTGTTTTTCCTTTTTATTTCTTCTTTTTCCATTTTTATGTGTATGAGTGTTCAAATGTGTGTAGGCACAGGTGTGGGTGTGCATGTGTATATGGAGGTCTGAAGTTAATGTCAGACACCACCCTCTGTTTTAAGGTGTGTTATTTTTGTTTATGTTGCATGTTTTTAGCTCTATGAAGCTGTGTCACTGTGCCTGTGTAAAACATCTGATGGTCTAATAAAGAGCTGAACAGCCAGTGTCGATTCAGGAGAAAGGATAGGCAGGGCTGGCAGGCAGAGAGAATACATAGAAGGAGAAATCTGGGAGCCAGAAAAAAGGAAGAGCCAGAGAAGGAGGAGGACTCCAGGGGCCAGCCACCTAGCTACACAACAAGCCTCAGAGTAAGAGTAAGATTTACAGAAGTAAGAGAAAAGGAGAAGCCCAGAGGCAAAAGGTAAACAGGATAATTTAAGTTAAGGAAAGCTGCCGGGCGGTGGTGGCGCACGCCTTTAATCCCAGCACTCGGGAGGCAGAGCCAGGCGGATCTCTGTGAGTTCGAGGCCAGCCTGGGCTACCAAGTGAGCTCCAGGAAAGGCGCAAAGCTACACAGAGAAACCCTGTCTCGAAAAACCAAAAAAAGTTAAGGAAAGCTGGCAAGAAACAAGCCAAGCTAAGGCCGGGTATTTGTAATTATGAATAAGCCTCCATGTGTGATTTATTTGGGAGCGGGGTGGTAGGCCCCCCAAAGAGCAAAAACAAACAATAACTATCCTCATTTTTTTCAAAGAGATTTGCTCATCGTAAAAACTCAGCATGTGATTCAGGTGAAAGGGTAGCTTTAGGAGACACTGCTGGTAAAACACAACTATTATGAATCAAAGGCGCCTATTTAAGAGGAGTTAACAATGTGACGTCAGAGCCAAATTTGTTATCATAAATAGAAGGGCTACCTCTCCAGTGTTGTGGCTGATCAACCAAGAGTTCTCACAAGCGTGGCTTGTGTGGAGCAGGCATTATGATCCCTATCTTCTCTCTTACTCTCCATTTCAATATTCAAAGTGAGCATGGGAGCCGGGGGTGGGGGGTGTTTAAAGAGAACAGTGGAACTCACTTGAGGACCACAGCACTCGCCGTCAGTTATTTCTCTTGCTGACAAGAGGGTGAAGCTGGCCCATGCCTACCTCTTTCTGGTTTCAGTGGACTTAGCCGTCTTGATGGTGCTCCCATCCTGAGCTGTTTCTCGTTCCTGAGGAGTATCTCTGACAGGTATGGGGAGGACCACCGTTTCCTGTGTCACAGGGATGACCTCCTCATCTGCCCCTTGCTGGCCCAGATGCTGCTTGGCGTAGTCAAAGCCTTGCACGGGCTGTGAGGAGGAAGAAAGTTTGAAGTCATACGTCTAGAGAGGTGTCCCCAGTGACAGCTTTGAGAAGAGACAGACAGTAAAACACATGCGATGGGCCGACCATCTTATCTGAGCATTGTTTGCTGTGCATGGCCTGGTTTCTGCCTGACAACGTGGGCTCATCTGTGAGTGATGAGGAGTCTCCAGTAGCTAAGACTTCCCAAGAACCCAGTGATGGGACAAGGCGGCTCGGTTCTGTTGTCACGCTATGCCTACTGCTCTCTAGTTGACCCCTCATCCTTTACACTTTTTATCCACTGGATACCTCTGAAGTCTGGGTCATTTATGAGTATGTGAAAATGGAGACATTAAGAAATGACAGCTTCCAAGGTAGCCATTGTTAGTAAGTTAATTATTAAAATAATCTACACAAGTGTTTGGTGTGGTACACAAAGCATTGATTTCTCTTTTTGAAAGATGAAAGCAAGGTAAACATTAGTCTTCATGTTGTAGGAAAAAATACAAAAGCTCAGAGAGCATCAGTGAATGCCCAAGAGAACACAGCTAAGTAATAAAAATGGAAGCCCAGGTCTTGGCTTTTCTGACTCTCAGGACAATGGGCTCAACCTTCAGAAAGTTGCCTGACATTGATCAGTTGCCCATCTGACACACATTGGTAACTTCCAACCTCAATAATACAGTATTACTCTAGTGAGTTTCATACGTTTACCAAATCAAAATAATAATTTCTACACTGGGGACATACAGTTCAGTGGTAGAGCACTTTCCTTCCATGCACAAGGGACTAGATTCAATCCCTAGAACCACCACCATCATCACTAGTGGTACTACTAGTAGTAGTAGTAATCGCCAACAATTTTTTTTTTTGAGACAGGGTTTCTCTGTGTAGCATTGCACCTTTCCTGGATCTCGCTCTGTAGACCAGGCTGACCTCAAACTCACAAAGATCCGCCTGCCTCTGCCTCCCGAGTGCTGAGATTAAAGGCGTGCACCACCACCACCCAGCCTCTCCAACAATTTTTAAAGGCGAACAGTTATATTACTTTTTAAGACAAAAGTACACGAAACAATAAAAGTCAATTTATATGTGACATTTTTCGTAGACCTGGCAGAGCATAAAGCAATTTGCATACCTCAATTCACTTCATCTTTACAGCTGCCTACCCATAAACAGTGCTACTATCCCCATTTGACAGATGGGGCACTTGAGGCACGAGGAGGTAATACAGCTGTGCTGAGATCATATAGGCAGTATGTGGGAAGGAGGGAAACAGTGGCTGTTCGCAGGGGAAGAGTGGCCTGTCCCAAGCAGTCTGTGCTAGCCACCGAAAGCCAGGCCTAGCCTGCATCTGGGTGGGCTCTAGCAATTTTCTTCTAAAGATGCATGTCCCCACTACGTTCTCTTTAGATGAAGGGAGAGCTGGCTGCGAATTCATTGGCAAAGAACAAAGAGGGGGTGACCAGGAAGAAAGGAGGTAAGCAAAGCCACGCTACCATGTTCTCAGAGCTCTCCCTGCAGAAACCTCGCTGACAATAGCGACAGGGTGTGTCTGTGTGCCTTGTCTCGGAGGAGGGTGTACAGTCCTCACTGGCCTTCTTTGCTTAGCATGCGAAGTATGTTACTGAGTCTTAGGACGGGTCCCCAGGATCTCCTCTGGCTCTGCAGCGTGCATTCTAAGGATGCCGCAATGTCCCCGGGGCTGTCTGCCCTGGCTACCGATTGGTGGCCTTGGCTAATTTTCCTATCGTGCCGTGCCCCTTGGCATTCACTGAATTCTGCTCACACTTCCCATGCAGCAGCCTCTCAAACACTGCAGTGTCCCTGACTCTCCCCAGCAGGGCTGCAGCGCCAGGCTGTTCCACTCTGCTGGTTTCCTGCAACAAAGGGGGCTCTGGGAATTGAAGAGCCTCACACACCCTCACTGTGGGAGAGACAACCCGCTGAACCGCACACAGGCGCTCGCAGCCGGCTCACGGCTCATAGGTCGGCTTGATTTTCAGCACCAGGTAAGGATCCCAAGAAGCACAGTGCCTGGGGAAGGCGGCACACGGGAGGAGCCACCAATGTTTCATCCGCTCTAGCTCCACAGAGCTTTCGAGCCAGGAGCGATGCTGCTCATCTCGGCAGATGAATGAAGATTTTGGTTTAACTCAGAGCTTCCCTTTCCAACTCCAGTATGGCGTGTTTTGCATTCCTGGACTCGGCTGTGATTCTGATAATTACTTGTTATGTCTAAAAAGACTCACGTCGTAAGCAAGCTTAGATGAAAATGAAACATTCTGTCTTGGAGCAGTCTCGTTTTTCACAGCTCGACAATTCCCAGGGTACCTCCCCCCCCAACACCCCACCGTGTCTGGGAAGCAGGTGCCTTATGTCAACAGACACAGAACAACATTCTTTGGGGGTTGGTGCCTCAGGAGACAAGACCGTCTAATCAGGCTCCAGCTTCCCCACAGAGGTATCTGCTTGCTGTGGAATAAAAGTACCTTTGATTTCTTATACTCAAGTGAGCTGTGCTCATGCCAACAGCCCAGCGTGACCCTCCAAGGACACACTCCATGGCTGACACAAATGGCAATGTGTAGGAAGTCAGAAGGAGCGGCAACTTGCTGTCCCATGTCTACATGGCCAGATGGAGTTTAGAGGTTCAGAGCTGGGAGCAGAAACCCCGCCAAGTCTCAGAGTGCGGGTGGGCGGGTGTATAATGTAGAGTGAGCTCTGAGAGGGCTTGGGAGGAGGCTCTGTTGCTAAAGTGCCTGCTGTACAAGCGTGAGTTTGGATCTCGAGAGCCTGTGTAAAAGCTGGGTGTGGTGGCACGTATCTGTAACCCTGGAGCTGGTAGGGGGCAGCAGAGACAGGCAGGGTCTGAAGCTCACTGGCCAGCCAGCCTGGGCCCATTCAGTGAGCTTCCGGTTCAGTAAGAGACTGTGAAACAATTAAGATGGCAGGTGAGAGAGGAAGACATCTCACCTGATAGAAACTTCTGGTCCCATCCATATCCACATCCTGCATGTGCATCCACACAAACAAGTACATACAACACACACACACACACACACACACACACACACACACACACACA